ACGCTCTTTCCTCCTCTCTCCGTCACCAAAGGCAACTGGATTTCATTACAGTCTATCTGTCTCGGTGTTAAATGCTGCATGTATTTGCATTTGTCATCAGAAACTGATGACAGACTGAGAGCAATGTTCTACACAACCGAGAAGAACACACCACCTAACTTTGTAGCCTGTTACATGATGGGTAGTGCAACTCCAAAACTGTTTAGCTAGAAAAGGTGGGTGCTGGGCAGTAAAGGAGTGGTACCTGGGAGTCACCTATTTCTTCCAGTACGGCAGTGGGTTGACTTGTGGCCCGCCCCAAAGATACATCTAAGCCTGAGTCCTTGGTACTGTGAACAGGACCTTCTGGGCAAAATGGATGATTGTAGTTGCAATTACATCAAGACTCTTGAGATTACTGTGGGTCATCTAAATGGCCCGAAGTCCAATGGCAACGTCTCTAAAGAAAGAGTTGACAAAGAATAGTTGACAGCCTCAAGGGGTGCTCTGTGAAGAAGGAGGACAGGTGGGAGTGAGGCCCTAAGCCAGGACAGCAAGGATAGCCTAGGGCCACCAGATCTAAGGCAAGCCAGGAGAGCGTGTTCCAGAAGCCTGCAGAGGGTACGTGATTCTGCTGACGCTCAGATGTAGAGCTCCTGCCTTCCAGAACTTCCAGCTAGCACACTTCTGGTGTTTGTAGGGTGACATGGACACATGGCCCAAGGAGGCTGATAAATGTCCAAAAAGTTTAAAAGTATCATATTACATTTATTTGTTTGTTTGTTTTATGTGTGGATGTACATGCGTGCATATGCCACAGCACATGTGTGGAAGTCTGAGCACAACTTTCAGGAGTTGGCCTCTCTCCCTCTACCATGTGTGTTCTCCTGGAATTCAGACTCAGGTTGTTAGGCTTGGTCGCAGTCATCTTTGCCTGCTGAGCAACCTTGCCAACCCTCCTCAGCAGCTTTGAACACTGTTCTTCCCATCCCTGGAGGGGTGTTATTTCAGCCTGTATTTCAGACCCAGGTGATCAATCCAAATAGCCATTCCTCATGAATAGGATGTGGCCCCACGCCCCAGTGCTAGGGATCGAACCTGGGGTTTCCTGCATGCCAAGCACGTTGCTCTACCGCCAAGCTGTACCCTTAGCCCCAGGACTACATTGTTAAGCAATGGTCATGCGACCCAGGGAGTCACTCTGTCTATAGCTGCAGGGAAACAATAGTCCATGCCTTTGACATTGTTTTCTGTAAAGACAATGTGAGCAGGGCCTGCCGGTGGTCATTTCTGTTACTATGGTGACCTGAGAAATAAGCTGAGAAGTAGCTGATCTGAGAAAGAAGCCAACAGGGAAAGAAAAACAGGCTGGAAAGGGAAAGCATCCCCCCCACTCCACAAACAGGTATGCCTAGAGATGTATAAATCCCCCTTACTGGCTTAAGTCACATTGAGACAGAAACATTGTCATTTCGGAGAGCAGATCCAGCCGTAACTACACTGCAGCCTAATAACTAAAAACAACCTTCTCCTGATGATGAAAGTGTCTATGCAGCACGGAGCATTGTTCCCGATCAGCCATGCAACAGTCAGAGCAAGGTAAAGGCAATCCCTTTGTTAGGCCTGTGCAAGTAGCCCCAGAAGCCCCAGTAGCCCCACAGCTGAGGAAAGACACACCATCCCAGAGCAAGCCTAATGCTTACTAAGTAACTGCCCCACAGAGGACCTAGCCCATTCTCCCAGCCCCAAGTCCTGCTGAAATGTCAGCCCCAAAGGCAATGATGCCGTGATGAGGGATCCCAGAGAAGAGAGACAGCATGGAGGAGATGGCGCTCTCTGCTAGCTGTCTAGTTCTCCAAGCACGATAGTTAAAGCCAAGTGTTGCTTTGTTTGAAAGTCAGGAACAACTAAGTGTGGCAGCTTCCTGCACCTTGGGAGGCAGAGGCAGGAGGATTAGGAGTTCAATGTCATCCACAGCTACAAAGCAAGTTCTAAGACACATGGACAGCAGGAGAACCTGCTCAAAAGAACCCCAAAATGAAACAAAACAAAAATGTTGGAAATGTGCTGAAGAGTTGTCACAGTATGACACAGTGGGCTCTTTGACAGTGACAAGATTCTGAAAAAGTACAATTTATTTCTCTCCCACTCATAAGGCAAACTCCACATGTGTGCATGGGCTGCAAATAGAAACATAAAAAGTAGAAGTGAGATGAACATCAACTCTGAGCAAGGAGGCAGGGGATGGAGGATCAACAGTGTTTGAGGCTACCCTGGGCTACATAGGCATTCTCTCTCTCTCTCTCTCTCTCTCTCTCTCTCTCAGACAGACAGAGAGGGTTAACTAATTATGGTATCAGGGAGGTGGTGCATAACTTGGGTTTTGATAGACTTTAGCACTAGGAGATAGGTTGGCATCCCAAGTGATGGGCATACTCCATCGGTAGTGATGAGACCTGGGAAGGCAGATGAAACTGATCAGAGGGTCACAGGCTAAAGTAAAGAAATGCGGACTTTATTGGTGCCATGCTTTGGATCCAAAACGCCTCCCATCGGTTCCTGTATTTTTTTTTTTTAATATCTGATGCCATCTTTAGGAGATAGGGTCTGGATGGAAAATGGATTTCTAGAAGTAGGTAGGCCTTTGAAGGTCCAATCTATCTCTAGTTTTAGTCTAGCCTTCGTTTCCTGATTGCCACCATTAGTTGCCTTGCTCTCCCACCTACATGGACCGAGCTGTTGCTGCCACCATTTCTCTCCTACAACGATGGACTGGAATCCCCTGAAACCATGAGCTCACATAAACCTTCCCCCTTGAGTTGTTTCTATCAGGCATTTCATCACATCAAGGAGGAAAGTATCTGAAACCATTGGAACTTTGGGCACAGAGGGGCAAGAGGATGTTGTGAGCAATGGACAGCCACTACTTGGATTCAAAGTGAAGAAGGTCCCTGAGGACCCTTACCAGAGTTGCATGACTTTTCCAAAGCAAGCAGGCCTTTCCCAATGGCAGAAGAATGAGAGAAATCAAGGGTATCAAGGCATTAGAAAAGGTAGACTCAGCAGATATGAGACCTGATGGAATTCAAAGACACAACGAGAAAGAGGAATCCACCATGATGGCTAGATTTCTTTTTCCTGAAATGGGCACCAGGCAAACCGTAACACTCATGAAAAGAAAAGAGTTGTTTTGTCTTGTTTGAGACAGGGTTTTTCTATGTAGTCCAGCTGTCCTGAAACTAACTCTGTAGACCAGGCTGGCCTTGAACCAGGAGATCTGCCTGCCTTTGCCTCTGAAGTGCTGGAATTAAAGGTGTGCACCACCACCACCTGGTGAAAAGAAAGGTTTTAAGAAAGGGAAACCTTGAGGAAAATGAAGGTAAGTCTGGCTTTCATAAGCTAAGCAGGAAGAACCATGTGACATCCTTGTGCAGAGGTCCATTGCATTGAACAGCAGTTTCCAGGGAGGTGATCCGTACAGAGGAGGGAATGCTGGAAACTGTCAGCTCTCCTCATGTGGCAGAAGACATCAGAGGACAGAGCAGAGGTCAAGAAGGGCAGTGGATAGGACACAGAGACTCCTGGGCCACTGGGTGACACAAAGAGGAATCTGATGGGAAATGTCTATCAAAATAGAGTAGAAGCCTCCAGAGTAGTGGCACTGTGAGACACAGGCTCAGGCTGTGTGGCCGCGCCTAGTCCCAGAAAGACACAATCAGGTCAAAGAACAGCTTCAAGTAAACTGGAGTATGGCTCTGTTTAATGCCTTTAGCGCAGGCGGGTGGTTCAGGGAAACAGAGAATGATGGAAATGGACGATAGAGGGCTGAGGGGGAAAGCAGTAAACACAGACTGTGTAGACCGTTCCTTCAAGAAGTTTGGGTGTGAAGGAAGAATGAGAGAAGCCCAAGAGTAATGTTAGACAGCAGACAGGGAAGTGGATGGATTAGACATTAAGGAATGAACTGCTAGAACATAGGCTCAAGACATGAGAGAGAGAGAGAGAGAGAGAGAGAGAGAGAAGGAGGGAGGGAAGAAAGGAGGTTCCAGGAGAGATAGGGCAGCCCTGGGCAGAACCACATCTCTCTCTGGCATGAGAAACATAAGAGGAGGAGGAGAAGAGTTGAGGTGATTGTCAGGGTGGGCCTTGTTACCGCAAATTTCCTACAGCTTAAGTGTTCAGGTATATCAATGGTCAGGATCTATTCTGTGCCAGTGACAATGACGTTTGAGAAAGGGTTGAGGACAAAACAACAATCAGGAGATGTATCAATGCCTAGGGACAGGGAACTATCTAGGGATGACTGTAAAGGTTTCTAGGCAGCCTTAGGAACCAGGTCTCTTTTTTTTGTTTGGTTTTTCGAGACAGGGTTTCTCTGCGTAGCCTTAGCTGTCCTGGACTTTCTTTGTAGACCAGGCTGGCCTCAAACTCACAGAGATCTGCCTGCCTCTGCCTTCCTGAGTGCTGGAATTACAAGCGTGTGCCACCGTGCCCGGAGGGACCAGGACTGTTATACTTCAAAGAATACATGATGAACCAAGTTCCTCCAGCATAGTTAGCACCCCTGAGAAGGGGCAGGGCAGAGGTGTTCCAGATGTGGGGCTCAACTGGATAGGTTTGGAGGGAAAGGTCAAGTAGACAAAAGTGGTTAGAGGAGGCTGCAGGATAGAGAAGAAAACTGATCACCACAGCCCTCCCCATTCAGTTGACGGTTATCACTGGTTCAGGAGCTTAGCTGAGAGGCTGTGGTCATTCTGTATGTAAGATAGAGTCCATCTTCAACAAAGAAAGTGACCAGCTCCAGACGGGGCAATGTGGAAAGAGCTGGGATGCAAAGGATCAAACAGACCTAGTTAAATTCAGCCCTACTATTTTTCTTTCTGAGATGAGCTTTTTTTTTCTAAAACTTCTGAAAAATTCATGATCTGTAGAGCTTATCAGGATGAAATGAGAAGATTAATATATACATTTCCACAAAACCCTATTAGGTCTCAGGCTTATGATTCAGTTCCTTGACTTACACGTTTAGTAGGTGTCTGGTGCCTAGCAGGCACTCAGTGGATATGTTTCCCTCTTTCTGTGTCGGTGTTATTCATCAGAGCACATTCTCCGGCCCTGAGCGAAGTGCAACTGAGATGCTGATATTCATCTCCCGTCTTAGTTCTGTACAACAATAAGAGCAGAACATGGATACATTTACCCCTCCACATCCTTTCACTGAGTCAAGGTAAGCTACTTCTGGACTTACTGAAATCTGGGTCAATATGGAGAGTGAGCTCTCGAATGACAAAGGATCAGGCCCTGGGTACTACCCATCCCACCGCCAGACAAATGAGCTGGTATGAATTAGCTCTCTGTTACTGTAACAAATACCTGAGGTAAATTAATGTTAAAAGAAGAAAGGTTCCCCTTTCACCTCCGTCCTATTCCCTCTCTGGCCAGAGTGCAAATGCTATGCAGCCAATGCCCCATTGTCTGTAGCCCCCACTACATTTTCCACAATAGGTATTGAATAAAGGGCTATGTGACAGACTGATTCTTTCCAAAGATAGTTCTCATTTCATGCTCACTGAATTATTTATCAATTCTCAATAACAGTTTTAGAAAATGCAGTTTCAAAAATATATATTTACAAGAAATAAAAAAAAAAAAAAGAGGAATGTGGGGCTGGAGAGATGACTCAGAGGTTAAGAGCACTGGTTGCTCTTCCAAAGGTCCTGAGTTCAATTCCCAGCAACCACATGCTGGCTCACAACCATCTATAATGAGATCTGGTATCCTCTTTTGGCATGCAGGCGAAATGTTGTATAAATAATAAATAAATAAATAAATAAATAAATAAATAAATAAATAAATAAACCTTTTTAAAAATAAAAAGAAGAATGATTTATTTTGGCTCACAGTTTTAAATAGGTTGCTTTTGGGCCGGATGGGATACCAGTTTCAAATTCATGCTCAAGGGACACATCTATGGGGACATGGAGCAGAGGCCACCAACTGTTCTCAATTTCCACTCTCTTTCTCTTTCTTTTAGAAGAAGGACCCCTAAGATTGCTCGGGCATCTCTAATAGGTACAGCTGGAGTTGACCATCCTCGGATTCTTCTGTGTTGACGCGCTCAGGTGCTGGCCAATGGATTACGAGTGAAAGGACAGCTCATCCTCTGAATTATAGCACTCAGGAGGCTGTCCAGCCCCTGTCCCCTCCCCCCTTCCTACAGGCAGGAATACAGGAAGAAAGAGTGAGTGAACTTTGACTCAGAAGAACAGGGAGCCAGAATGTGGGAGAAACATGGGCCCCTGGATGGCCCTGTTGACCACCCACCTCTTAGCTGAAACGAATCATCTTCTATTCCTCAGAGAAAACCCATTTTAAGAGCTTTCAGTTACGGCTTAGCCCATGCCCGGCTAAATACCGTCTTTTCCCAAAGTACTGATAAAGTTAGAGCTGAGCAGTACTTACTGAAAGCTTGCCCCGTGCCAGGAATCGCTCTAAATACTTTACATGTGCTATCTCATTTAGTCCACACCTACCTCCTAGATGGGGCTTTGGTGACGTTTTTGCAGAAGAGGAGACACCATACTCTGAGTGATGACTCACTGCTCCTGGGCGACCAAATGTGCAGCCTGAGCCATGTATTCTGAAGTGAGGTGGTGTCCTCATCCACTGCCTTCCGGAGCACCTCTTTGTACAGTTCTATGCAGTCAGAAAGACATGGTTCAGAGCTAGCAAGATGGTTCCACAGGACAAGGCACTTGCCAAGCAAGCCTGATAACTTGGTTTCATCTCCAAAACATACACAGAGGTGGAAGGAGAGACCAACTCCACAACGTTGTCCTCTGACCTCCACAGGGCACCGTAACACATTCATGCACACATACAGTGATTTAAATTAAAGAAAAAATTAAGAAGTCACGGTTCAGTTTTCCAGAGACCTGTACCTGAATACTAACCCCGGAACTGCAAGTCGTTTAGTGTCTCCACAAGTCAGTTTCCTTCAAGAGAGCATGTGAGAAAAACCAAACTCCTGGCCTCACGGGAGGATAAGATAGATTTACGAATGTCGAAGAAAAGCTTTGAAAGCTATGAAGTGAGGCACAAGTGATAAGCTGCCTTAAGGGAGGTTGGAAAATCCTTCAAACCCAAATAACAAAATCACTTTATTATTTTTTTTAATGCAAATAACATCCAGCAATTTGGCAGATATCCTAGAAAGGTTGCAAAATCTGTTAAGGAAGGGGGTATGTTTGGATTTGTACATCTGTCATCCTTAACTAAAGAAGGGAGATTTAGCTGAAATTAACTGGAAGAGTTCAGACCTATGTACCTGGCGTTTGCTTGCATGCGCGCGCGTGCGCGCGCGCACACGCACACACACACACACACACACACACACACACACACACACAGGCACACCGAGGTTCTCAATAGAAAAAAGAAATCCTTATTAGAAAGACCAGGAACAGCCTCAATCTGTCATATCCATAGATATGATATGTGATATGGATAGATGGGAACTTGCCATCTATCCATCTATCTATCTAAGTTGCAGAAATAGGTGTGCCACAGGAGCTCAAAGATCTCCAGTTCAAGTGATCTGGGGACTTCAGGAACCCTGTTGTGGCAGACCTTTCGGGTAATTCCCCAATTTTCCTTGTTTGCCCAGGTGTATACATCATGCCTGGTCCAGGGCCACCAGCCACCTTCCTGGAATTCAGTCCCCAAGCCAGAAGGAAACAGTTGACTTTTTAGCGTTGTTACGATGTGGACGGATATTGAAGGCTTGGTTCTCAGTGCAGCAGCGTTCAGGGACCTTTGGGAGGGGATTGCATCCTGCGGACTCTAACCTCATCACTCGGCTTTTGAGAGGTGGTGGAAATCACAGAAAGTAGGGCCTCTCTGGAGGAAGCTGGTAATTAGGGGTGTGCTAGGGAGGGCTATTTTATCTTTAACCCCTTCCTCTCTTTCTTTCTTTGCTTCCTGGCTGCTGTGAGTTGAGCCCCTTTCCTATACCAAACACTTCAGCCATGCTGAAAGGTCCTAAGAATGGCCAGGCCAAAGGGCTATAGACTGAATGAAACCTTTGAAATCATAAGCCCAAATACACTTTTCCTTCTTAACATTATTTATCTCAAAGTATTTTGGAAAGATAATGCAAACATTGTTCATCGTGAGTATGAACAAGTCCCGGTTAGCTTTCAGTTAATTCGGTCCTGATTGTCTTTCTGCCTCTATCCTTCTAGTGCAGGCTACTTTCCTGGTGCTTCTTGCTCCTGGATTGAAATCCCCTTTGACAGGGCTTAGCTACTTTGAAGGTACAATTCTCCTTCCCTCTCCTCTCTGCCAATCAATGCCAACACGCCGCTTCCGGCAAGCAGAGCCTGCACTTGCTTCCCTTCCCAGCGAATAGATGGTTTTCCCACTCATGCTCACGGAGTCAGGTAGATGACTGCCACTGTGATTGCACAGATGAGAAGACAGCAGAGAGGCTGGGTATGTAGGGACGGGACTTCCTAGCCACAGGGCTCTCTCTGCCTTCCTCGAGGGCCAGCACAGGGGACAGAAGCACAGAAGCTGCTGCAGCCACCTGTGTCTTGCCAGCCTGGACTCCCCCAGTGGGGACTGAAGCAAGCTGACTCTCAGCGTGAGTTTGCCTCACCTGCACTCCTCATTCCTCAAAAGCAGAGAGAGAGGCCCCTCTGAGACCTGTGCTTACCTGGCCAGCAACCCTAGGTCTGCACTGGTCTAGACTGTCCTCCCCTCGTGCCACCCCGAAGTCACTGTCATTAGCTTCATTCCCTCCTCTCTGGCAGGCTGTGGCCCAAAGTTGACAGACACCCAAAGCCAATGATCTCAGTTCCCCTTCTTTACTCTCAGGTGCTCTTGGGGTTCCCAAGGACAGGAAGATGCCTTGAAAGGCCACCTCAGGGGGAGGTGTCGTGAGCTGAGACTTGACTTTTCAAAGGAAGGCCTCGATGGATTCCAGGAGACAGCCTATTAATTGGTTTTGGCCTGCAGCCCCCTGGAGCAGCTTCCTCCAGCCCTTGGGCTCCCCAGGTAGGGTGTGGTGTGGTGGGGTGGGGTGTGTGGATGTTGCCTAAGGCAGAGAACTATGCCATGTTCCGTACTGACTTACTGTTGGTTTGAGACGTCTGGACTAGAGTGACACACAATTCTTTGCCTTGTTTCCTCAGCCTTGCAGAACGAGCCTCCTTCTGAAAGGCATAAAGGTCCCTTTTCTTCAGCTCACAGGAGTTTCTGGGGAGGCCTGCCACCACCACCACGGGCTTGTTCTGTCCAGCTCAGACTCGGGTCTCCATGCTTGGGCCGGTCCCAGGCAACCGGAACTCCGCTGCAGCCAATGCTCTCAAGGCCTGGACTGGGGTGGTGGCTTCCATGGCAGGATGCCAGTCTTGGTTCTTAAAGCCACAGAGCTGCTGGTGGCCGTTCCCTTTACAGGAGTTTCTTATCTTCCCCAGGGACCAGGGAGGCATAATGCAAGGACACGGCCACCATTATCCACGAGAATGAAAAACCCTGATGTAGAAGGGTGCCAGCCCCAGACATTTCAATGCCACCACGGACCTAGGAGCGCACTCTGCACGGAGGAGTCTCACAGCCATCCTGTTTGATTCCAGCATGAAGCCAGATTTCGGGCTTGCCATCTGCGCCATCCAAATGTCAGGCCGCACTGGGTCATTTGGGGTACGGGTGAAAGTGCAGGTACCGCTCTGGGAGTGGGGTTCCTTACGGATCATGGCTGCTGGCCCTGGGGCTGTGCTGGCTTGGGCAGGGTTGGGATGTGAAGCCTGGGTAAGTTGCTCTCCCACTGAGGTAATAGGAGCACAGTGTGAGGCTAGTCTCCAGCACTCAGAAAATGCTTGAGTAACACTGGCAGGGCCTGTGATTTTTGTCTGTTTTCTTTCTGAATGCCCACTGTGAAAAAAGAGCAGTTTCTGCTTTCTCCTGCTTCAAAGCTATCAGGACTTCCCCTCAGACCCAGCATTACTCCCAACCATACAAGGGTCTAAAGCAGATGGTGCCAGCACACCCCTGCGGCTTCGCCTTCCCTATCTCTCCTGAGCCTTAGACCTGCCCATGGGCAGCACAGATCACATACTTGAGCACACTGCAAGTCCTTTAGGTGCCAGACTTGGCCTGTCCCTGGGTCACTTTTGCAATTCTTTTTCTTGGTCTGGTTAACATCCTCCTCTCCTGGAGAAATTGGCACAGGTGTGCCTCGCCCCTTGTCATGTTAAAACATTGAGAAGGCACCATCCATAACTCCCCTTCCCCCCAAAAAAAAGTACCCAGACTCTCACAGGATACTGAATCGGTTGGCACCTGATCTTAGCCTTCCCAGGCTCAAGAATGGTGAGAAATCAATTTCTGCTGTTCACAAGTGGTCCAGCTTGTAGTATTTTGTTATAGCAGCTGGAATAAACAAAGACAAGGGCATTGTGCTGAGTGAGATAAGGCGGAGTCTGTAATTCTACCCATCATGAGGTGCCCGGATCAGGCAAAGCCACTGAGGCAGAAAGTAAGCCAGTAGATAACAAGGGGTGGATGAGGAAAACATGGAGTCACCATTTGATAGATACAGAGCTTCAGTTTGGGGTGATGAAAGGTTCGAGAAATGGATAGCTGTAACAGTTGTAAAATACTACGAATGTACCTAATGCCACTGAATGGAACACTTAAAGCAGTTAAGCTGCCATCATAAGGAAACATTTCATCAGATACTTAAACTGTAAGAATACGCCTAACCTGTACTCCTCAGGAGAAGACACTTTGCAAAAGTAAATATCCAGGGCCTGAGGCACGCCCTTTCTTTCTTTTCTTTCTTTTTTCTTTTTCTTCTCTCTCTCTCTCCCTCTTTTGAGGCTTAAGGATGAGATTTGAAACTTCAGAAAGTAAAACTGTGTGGTTGACCAGAGATGCAAAAAATGCCAAATATTTACAGCTGGATTCTTCGGTGGATGTGATGTAGGCAAAAGTGCTAAGAGAGAGAAATATCTCAACATTCAATAACACAGTGCACTCTTCAAGAAGAGCAGTTGCCTACATCAGAAGGATGTGGAGGCTCCAGCAGGGTTGTTTGGACGTCACGTCACCTTGCAAAAAAATGAAAGAGCACTGAAATCTGGCAACAACTGCAGGCCCACTATGTAACAGTTAGTGATTAGAAGGGCTCAATGGGAGGAAGAAATAAGAATTCAAGACTTCCTTTTCTCAAATTTATTGGACAGGAAGCGTCTTAGAAGTGGACATCTCTTTCTCTCCCTCTAAATTCCTATGTTGAGACACCAATCTTCAATGCAATGGAATTTGGGGAAGTAGTTAGGGCCGGGTGAGGTCATGAGGGTGGGCCTTTTCTGCCATATGAACACCACCACCACCAATCCCAGCCTTCTGCCCACTATATAATCTATCTGAACTTCCTCTGTCTCAGGCTTTGCCCAAGCAGCCGTCTATACCCCTGGTGACGTGCAGGCCTGGGGCTTCCTGTACTCGCTCCCCAACCTTCCTGCTTTCCCAGTGCCTGACGGCACCCGCCAGCCGCTCTGCCCTACATGCTAGGCTCACTTTCCTCTGGGACTTGTAGAAAGGCTAAGCAGCTTGTCCTCAGTCTTGGGAATATGATGGCTTTTGAGACTCTTCTGATGTCAGAGACAAGGAGATAATGGTTCCTGCTGGAGCAGGATCCATGCGACGGGAGTATATGTGTTTGCACAAGTGAGCCTCTATGCAAGGAACCCAGGGTTTGCCATTTTCAAAAGTTCACTTCTTAGCCACAAATAATGCCACCGTCACAGTAGCACTTCCTGTTTTTCACAGATTAGTCATAGTAAAAACAGAAGGAGGCAAGAGGCTGGCAGTTACTGAGTCCGTTTGGCTGCGGGGAATGCTGAATTCTGCATAGTGTGGGGCAGGCAGAGACCTGAGGAAGGCAGGGGTAGCCAGCTTCCTTCTGTGTCTGCTTCTGGCCCAGTGCCTCAGGCTCAGCCTGCTTAATGCGTTTCCTGACTGCCCTTTGCTCTCTGCTCTCTTTTCCTACCTCTCCACTGCTTCCATACCAATCATCCCCCAATGGTGTTTTGCTTATATAATTTATTTGCTCAAGATCCTTCAATGGCCTTTGTACTGACCACGAAGTCAAGTCTTTAGACTCAGCCAGTCCTTCCTCCAGGGACCATGCCTGCACGAGCTCTGCTTCACAGGGCCAAGGCTAGGGTGACCCTCATATAAAATTTAAGAGGGCACCAAACAGTCAGCAACCATACATAATAACACTAAGTTTTAAAAAGTCAAAGTTCATACGCAAAGCTCAATGGTGACAGACCCAATAACAAAATTTTTAATTATGGACAGAGGTGTCCCCACATTGCATGTCTGTTCCTTTCACTAACCTTCCTGGCTGGACCAGCCTGGACTTCCGTCTCAGATGGTACCAACTCATCTCAAAAATCTCTCCCCATGCCTCTGCTCACACAGACCTTTCTGTCTCTTCGCTCCATTGGTTTCATAAACCTTCCTTTCCATCAACTCCTGTCTAACTTTTTAGTTCATGTTGCCCTTTGAGGGCTTTCCCACTCCTTTGGAAGTGGCAGCAGAGAGGGTTGGGGTGTAACTCAGTAGCAGAATAGATGATTAGCTTACTTGAAACCCTGAGGTTGATTCCCAGCACTGCAAGGAAAAAAAAAAAGAAAAGGAAGGAAGGAAGGAAGGAAGGAAGGAAGGAAGGAAGGAAGGAAGGAAGGAAGGAAGGAAAGAAGGGATAAAGAGAAAGAGAAAGGAAGAAAGAAAGAGATTCTAAAGATAGCAGATGTCTTTTGGGGCTGGGTACATAGCTCATGGGTGGAATGCTTGCCTAGCATGCATGAAGGCTTGGATTTGATTCCCACCACCACATAAACTGCATCTGATGGTGCACACATATAATCCTAGCACTAGGGAGGTAGATGCAGGAGGATCGGAAGTTCAAGATCATCCTTTGCTACCCAATGAGCTTGAGGCCAGGATTGGGCTATATGGGATCTTGTCTCAAAATAAGTGGACAGACAGCATCATGTGTGTACTTCCTGACCACGTCCTGCCTGGCCTCCCTGTGTGAAATCCCTCTGGGGTCTCTGTCTCCCTGACCCCAGAGAGACCTCTCCTGTCCTGTATCACTTTCTGGTAGCACTTACCACCAACAGATGTGCATTTCTGTTTCTTTCTCTCTAGCCCATCTCTCTAATAGGAACCCGAGCTTCCAGAGCAAGGCTTATCATCTGTGTTTTCATGGCTGAGTTCCAGAGCCCGCAACAGGGCCTGGTGTGTGACGCCGACAAAGGAAACTGTTATTAAATGGAATTTTTTTTAAGCCAATTCTTAGGTATGCTCTCAATCTAGAAAGGGCAAATGAAGGACCAGGGAGAAGGCTCATCAAGTACAGGCACCGCCACCAAGCCTGATAACCTGGGTTTAATTCCAGGATGCCACATAACAGAAGGAGAGAATCTGACCTCTGCATATGTAGCCTGGCACCTGTGCACACACACACACACACATATGCATAATTAATTAATTAAAAATTTGATCTAGTTTAAAAATAAAAATGTTCCTGGTGAGTACAAAATGATCCATATGCCCAAAGGTATGTGATTACTTAGGCTGTTGAAGGACGCAGTTTTGTTTGTTTTGTGTTTTGAAACATGGTCTCACTATGTAGTCCTTGGCTGGCCTGCACTTCACTATGTCGGTGAGGCTGGCCTTCGCCTTCTGCTTCATGAATGCTGGTCTGCAAGGGGTCCGCCACCACAAACCTTTTGGTTTTGCTTTCGCCAAACATTTCGTTTTGGTTGGATGTAAAAATATGAAAACTGATGCTGCGGACACCTGTGGCCAGTAAGTGCCACTATTCATTTTGAATTTTTCTTTTCTTTTCTTTTCTTTTCTTTTCTTTTCTTTTCTTTTCTTTTCTTTTCTTTTCTTTTCTTTCTTCCTTTTTAAAAATCTTTTGTGAGTGCATACATGTATGTGTGTGTGTGTGTGTTACCATGTGGGGTTGGGGGCACAGAGGACGGATCCTTGAGTGTCATTCCTTAGCTGTCCATCCTCCTTATTGATAAAGACAGGGTCTCTCAGCTAGGTGACACATGTTTGTAATCTTAGCTCTTGGGAAGCAGAGGCAGGGGGATCTCTGTGAGTTCCAGGCCAGCTTGACTCACACAGCAAGTTTTAGGCCAGCTAGCTCTACAGAGTGAAAATGTGTGTCAAAAAACAAAAACAAAAGAAAGACAGGATCTCTCACTGGCTTAGAACTCAGCATTTGGGCCAGACTGGCTG